TATTTAATTTTTATCTTTCAGAAAACAAACTTTATTTTAGTAGAAAAATCCTGTCAGTTTCATAAAATAGATAAATTTTTTAAATTGATTTTTAGATCTTTTGACTTAGGCTAGTTTTGTAATTTGTAAAATTATTTTCAATTTAAATGCTTGTTTTTAGAAATTTATTTAAAGTGTGTTGATGCATGGCTTTCAGAAACAGATGCAGCTATTTCACATTTATGTAAGTAAATGGTTTTACCATTGATTTTGGTATCATTTAAAATCATTGTTTTAGCAATTATCTATCCATTCCCTTCAGTATATGATTTTTTTATAAGAAAGTTAAATTTAGAGGAGGCAATATCCGAACAAGTGTAAGTACTAAATTTGTTTTGTTAACTGATAAAATTCTTGCTGATTTTTCTTAATATTTCCATTGTCTTAGCTGCTTCATATTTCAAATTGTTTTATTCTGTTCCAATATTTTTAATCTTTTTTTATTTTGCATGATCAGCTTGCTCTTCATTTTCTAATAAAGTATGACATTTTCAAATTAATAATGGAATTTTTTACATTCAATTTCTAAAAACCGTAATTTAATAGTTAAAAGGTAACATAAGGCACTGTATTTTTTTTAGTATGAAAATATAAAAATTCTCTTCATCATATTTGTAAAAAATCTATTTCAGTTTTAAGTTTATGTACTGTACCTAATATTGATGTCAACAGTTTGAAAGCCTGCTTTTTAAATTTTATTGCTTAAACACGTAATGTTTTATTAAATGCATGAATGATTTAAAGACATTTGATGTAATTAGTGTTGCAAGTTGTATTGCATATATCTAATATGGCAGCAATGTATGAGGTATTTACTACACCATATCTACATACCTTTCAAATTTATGAAAATATTTACTTTAGCAGATTGAAAAAAAGATAATGAAGATTATATTTAATTTTAATATTCATACAAATAAATTTGAATTTTTTTTCCCCTAACAATATTTGACAGGTTAAATTAAATTACAGATGTTCCATTAATTGAGTTTAAAAATCTGTTATTCAAGGAGTATGGCAAAAGTAGAAGAAACACAAACTTGATAGTCAAATAGAATGATTAATATGCATCCAACTTTGAATTTGTTTTGCAAAATAGGTTATGAAGAACAAAACGATTATCTGATGGTGATAGAAATAATCTTGAATGAAGAGCAAGGGTAGTGTTTTACATGTGATAATACAAATGATGTTCCCTATAACAAAAATCTGCATTTGTTCAAAAAAACTATTCATTTTAGTGTGTAAAGTTTCATGATTTGTACTGTATAATGTATTTTATAAATTAACTTTCCATGACATTGTGCATTGAATATTGTTGTAAACAGATTTCAGGAAGTACAATTTTACTTGTTAAATTAACGACGAATTTCAGATTAATCAAATTTATTTAGATAAACCAGAAAATTTTCTTTAAATTTTTAAGGTTTAGTGACAAGTGAAATGTATTTGAAGTGTCTGTATAAATATTTGAATTTTTATCAAGTAGGATGAAAACTAGAAGAGTTTTATGATTAGTTGTCAGGTAACATAAATTTGTTCTGTTTTATAGCTTGTTATGAATATTGATAAATAAATTTTTATTTTTTTTTATAAAAATAAAATTTTATCCTCCTAATAAATTTTATATTTTTAGCCATTAAAAGTTAACAATTTTTGAATTTTCCATTTGCTTAACATTTAGAAACAATTATGCATAATTTATTTTTTGACAAGATTATGAATTAAATTGTTTTACAGAAAAATTAGTCTGAGTATGACAATGCATTTTCTATATATATATTTTTAATAAGAATGTTTGTTTATGGATTTTTATATGTGAAAAAATATTCTAATATATTCATATTTTAGGTTTAGTCAAAAGTAAATTTTTTTTCATTTACTCATTATCATATGATCTTACCTTGGATATATGAATTCACTATACTGTATAATTCTAATCCTGCATTCTATATTTCTTTATTAATTAAGACAGTACAGAAATTATGATAAATCATTAAAAACATAATACAGAGTTGTTGAAAAAAAAAGGTGTCTGAGATTTCATGATTAAATAAGTGTAAGTTTGTAATTGAAAGATATAGAATATCTAGCTTGCTTTCATACTTTTTTTAGTACGTTCGGTGAACAACAAAGGGTTCTTGCATTAAAAACAAACATTAAACAGTTGTCTAGCTCTGCTCAGGTTCATTCATTTATTTCAGCTATGACAGGATAATTGCTAATATAGCAGCTATTTCTGAACTGTTGTTGTTCATAAATCTTCTCTGTGTACTGTTCTTAATATAGCTCCAAAAGAAAGGTATAGGAGTCTGATTGGACTTCTTGCTGGCTGGAAAATGAGGCTATCTCTTCCGATCCAACAATCAGGAAACCTATTGAGTGCATCTAAAACATTGTGACTGTAAGAGACATCACTGCACATCTTGCTGAAGGATGATGGAAAAATAGCTTTCAATGTTATCAATCTTGAGAAGCAAAGTTCTTGTATATTCAAAGAAGTATTGGCTGTAATTGTTCTTCCAACACATGTAATTATGTGGTGAATTCATTTATTAATCCATACCACATGCTTATCTTGTAAGTCACAAGTATAAATTTCATTTGGTTATATATAAACACTCAAATTCCATAGTTGTGAGGTTGACAGATTTATGTGAAAGGTTGCCTTATCACTAAATATGAAACACTCGAGGAAATTGTCATCAATTTTATTCAGTGCAAATTCAGTGAATTCAACACATGTGGAACAGCTAAGTTTAATTACTTACTTGAAATTGCACATCTACAAAATCCAGCTCAAGTGTTTATGAAACAGTTTCTGCAGTCATTTTAGAAATACAAGCTTCAAGCTGTGACAAACAATAGTTGCTTCGGCTACGCTTACATTTTGTATGCAACTGTCTCAGATGCTACGTGTCCCCTTCTGATGTAGATCGGCCAGCAATTACTATGCAGACTTTTTGGTTTCTTTAAACTGAATATGAACAAGACTATAAAATTCAATGGTTGTCTGCAGATGCACATCTTGATGTAAGTATAGTATATGAATATTGAAGTTGCATTGTTAGTGATTTAAGCTCAGCATACCACAATTCACACTGTGTGCTTTCTATTGCTTAGTTGCCATTGTACTGACTAAGACAGAATGCAGTAGTATTGCTACTATTATTACTACTAACAATGTTTCTACACAACTCAATATATCAGATTAGATACAAACCAAGATATTTGACATTGAAATCAGACACCTTTTTTTGATACCCTGTATTTTATATGAAATGTGATTTATAAAGAGCATGTTAAATTAAATTTTATTGTGATATTGAATAACTTTTAGATAGAAGATTAAACATTTGAAATTATATTTAATTAATATAAAAATAGTAATACTGTATATACATAATTATAATTTTGTAAATTTTTTTTTGTTTTATCATAATTATTGAATTATTTGTATAATTTTTAATGCGGTTGTAATTCTTGAGAGTGGAAATCAACTGTCCACGGACATCTCTTAATTGTAAGATAAATATTTTTGTTTGTTAATGACTTTAGTTAATGTCATTGAAATAGAATTTCTAGAATGAGTTTTTACCAATTTGATTTTAATCCTAAAATATTTTTAGGTAAAATTCTCTGATTTTTTTTTTTTTTTTAGGAAGATCATCATATTTATTTAAAACGTCAATCCAGTAATCCTAGTGTGAGTACTTAAATAGGATCTCTCACTTGAATTTAAATTTCAGCATTATAATAATTATAAAATTACATCCTAAACTTTTATTAACTCTACTCATAGAATAGGATATTAATCTTACTTCATTGTTGGTCATACTAAACATTATTGATAAGACCAGATTATATTTAACTCTAAATCTGTTTTTAATGTATATCAATTTGTTTGCATTAGAATATTTAAAACTTATTAAATTTATTTCAGAATTTTTGGATAATTACATTAAAATTCTTTAAAAAGTTTAAATATGATTACTAAATTCAATAATACTTTATAATAAAGTTGCTACAGCATAAGTGAAAATGTAATCCTTAAAATTCCTTAAGTAATTTGCTAATTGAATGATTTCATTCAAATATAAATTAATATTTTGTTTTTAATTTTATGTATTCTTTACAATATGATTTTATTTATTACTATTGTAGATTATCCCAGATAAAATCTCTCCATTCTAATATTTATATTTTCAAATATGAATTTCGTTGTTACCTATAGTTTATAAATGTCTGATAACATGCAGATGAGATTTAAATTTGAAATGATACATTAGATTATTTTCAGGTTAAGAAAAAGTAACAAGAACTAAACATATTAATTAATATTGTATAATCATTACAAGAACATTCTTATTCTGTATAGTTTAATTGCATTTAAAGCCTTGAAGCATGGAATTAATATTACATAAATGTAAAATTTTTGTAGATTACATTTCTTCAGAAAAGTTTTTTTTCTTATAGATGTGCCAATGTATATCAGGGAGTTTTTCAAATTGATCTAGCTGATTTGGATATGAATAAAAATATTCTTGTTGGTCAATCTGTTCTCAGAATAGAGAAAAAGTCGCTAATTTTTTCCCTTTTCTAATAAATTCAATAATCAATGGAAACCATTTAAAAAGACTAAATAATTCAAGGTGTTTACTTTTATATTTAAGATATAATTTCTCAAAACATTACTTAACTATGATTGTCATTAATTTTTAATTGATTTGACAAAATGTGTTTGGATTGAATAACATGAAAGTGGTGCATTTAAATTTATTGAAGATTTGTTCTAAATTTTTTTCACATATCTTCCATAATTGTAAAAGCAAAATAATTTAAAAAAAATATATTTTTTTAATCTTTAATGTTTAAATAATTTTCTGATATTTCTACATTGTCTGTCTTAATTCAATAATTTACAATAATAATAATTTCTTTATGATAAAGTAATACTTGTAAATAAAAATTTAAAAAAATGCTTTTGTGATTTTAAACTGTTCTAAAAAAATAAAATTAATACAATTTCTGGTTTTAATTTTACTAGTTACAAAACAGATTGGATCTAATTATATAATTTCAAATTTATAAATGGAGTATTAAATAAAGCAGTGAAATATGTAAAGTATTTTATCAACCTACACAGCATTTATAAATAAAACTATACTGAAGAAATAATAATGCAGTTTAAATTGAAAGAAATGATGAAATATTAAAGAAAATTAACTATTATGTTTTAGCTGTAATAATAATAATCTACCTAATGAAAAACTTTATTTTCTTTATAAATAAGAAATTATCTCTTGTGATTTTTCAAAAGTTAAACCATAATTTTATAATTTACAGATTGAAAGAAATCACTACCAGTTTGATTGTAAATAATTTTAAAATGTGTTCTGATCAATTTAAGATTTATAATATCAAGACATAAGATGACATGCTAATACAATTTTTACAAAGGAAAGCCATTTTGACAAGCAGGAACAACAGATAAATTTGCAGTAGTTCAGAATGAGGGAGTGCAGTTTATTCTTTTTATTGTAGTATTAATAATTAATCAGATTCATCATACAAATTAAATCTAGATGATCCAACACTAACTGTTTTTTACTCCACATTTTCAGAAGCAAGGTTGGTTTTGTTGCTACAATGCTTGCATATATGTAACATTCACCAGGTTTGAAGTAACTATACCAAGCAATAACTGTCCTTGTCAGGATTTGTAGCCATTTGCATATTTTTGCAGTTTCTTACAAACACTAGAAGTTTTCAGCACTGAAGATGCGATTCGATAGCTTAGAAACTATATCTGGATGAAAACTTTCTTGCAGTATTTCAGTAAGTAACAACTTCATTTGCTGTACTGTCAATAAGAGATCCTTCCACTGACAAACGATTGTTTTATCATCTCAAGCATAGTGTTGCTAATCTAATTTCTTTATTAGTACATATGCATGTTACTTGTTTTAAGTCTTAACCTGTTGAGGAGTTGGTTTTTCTTTTTAATATTTCAGTCGGTGAAAATATATGTATTAGTTATTTCTTTTTACTGCAATTTTTGTTTGATCTGATTCTGCCATTCAAAGGGAAAGATTTCGATGGAAATGCCAATTGTCACAATGTTTTGGAAGATGACAAGGATTTAATAGGAAAAAGTTATCTATTTACTTTATTTTTAAATAAAATAGATCAACTCTGCAAATCTTTCATTCTTTTAACAGAGAGATTCAATGGAAATTTTTTTGGGCTGGAGAACAACTCTGGAAAGTAAGCCAATAATAACATTTCTTTAGAAAGCTAGTTTTTTGGAATTTTCATGTAGAGAATAACTTGTGAAATTGTACAGATTGATGCGTGAGTTTCAATACTGATGTAATCATTTAAATATCTGTGAAAATACTATTTGAATTTTACTACTGTTTATTAAGTTGTGATTTCGGCAGTAAATATTATGTTGCTTTTTCTTTTCTATTGATTTTGTTACAGAGAAAATGAGTTTGCAGGGTGGGAAGCAATGAAGTGTAAGTACTAACCAAATTTGTTTTGCTAGTTGATGTTGAGTTCATTAATTTTTATTATTAGTTTATTGCAAGAAACATTTTAAAAAAGATTAAATTGAGGTGTAATGAATGTAAATTGTTTTGCTTTTATGCTTAATGGTAACCATTGCTTGGTTTCCTACCAGATGGGACACTTATTTGCAGATTATTCTTTGTCACTAAGATTCTTCTACACCAGCTGTTTCAATTGTTGTTCGTTGAAAGTGGACTAGAGAAGAAAAGACAATGTAAGGCTTTTTATTAAAGCGAAACATTTGTAAGCTTGACGTTTAAATAGTTTAAAATAACTGAATTTTTTTTAAAAACTTGTAATGAAACTGCTTAATTTTGTCAGTTTGGAAAATTGTATGTGCACATGTAATGCTGATGTGTGGAGATAATTTCATATTTTGCAGCTTACCCATTGAATAAATTTTTATTTCATTGTTATCTGATATATGCAGTATCATTTAGATGGCATTTGTATTTTTATTACATGCATGATTGCTTAAAAGCATGGAAGCACATATGGAATTTAAAATTTCCCTGCAAGTAAAGTAATTTGACAATTTCATGTGAGCAATGATGTGCAACAAGTGTAAATATAGAGGAATTGTTACTTGCAATGATTTATTGAATAAATATTTGACAATGTTTTTGATATTCTAAAAATAAATATATTTTTTTAACAGAAGAGACTGACTTATTTAATTTGTGCATTTTCAAATTGAAAGATAATTATGTGATATGAATTTTCTTTAATGTTTATTTCTAAGATGCTTGTTGGCACTTGCTGCTATAAAATGTAACTTTTAAATTGTAATTTTCAGTATATTCTATGAATGTAGGTTTGATGAAGTGATTTGTGCAGAATGTAAGTTTTATATTTGGGTTTATTGGAAATGTATTGGGCAAATCATGGTGATCTGAAGGCGAGTGTGTGAATATTTGGCAGATGGAGTTGCAGATACGGCATGTGTTATTTATGACAAAATGAGGATGTAAAGAGCAGGGAGTATAAGAAACTCTGAAAAGAATTTTTGCATTATGTACTTGTATGTTTATTAAGTCATTTACTCTTTGCCTAGATATATTCGACAGCAAATTGGCATATGCAGTTGCTTCGATATCTTAATTTGAATTTTAATTTACCAGAATGCATTAATTTTCTGTATCAGTGGCACAGAAGAACACACAGTGCAAAGTGATTTCAGGGAGTAAAAATTTAATTATTATTGATGAATTAGATTGATTGTATGAATTTGCTTGATATTTTGCAATGAATTGCAGGTTATGCAAGAAATATAAAAAAAAAGTAGAAAAAGTTGTTTTAGTTTGTTAGGTGGATAATAATAATGTTTAAAGTTTGAAGATTACAGGGTCGGTATGAAGCATTTATTTATTTAGGGAGAAGATTTTATATGGCAAAGATTGTTGAGCAACAAAAGTAAACAGTTTTCTTTTCATAGATTTTCATGAATAACATGCATGTTAAATAACTTCTTATAATCATTTATGTATAAGTTTTGTAAATTTATTTCAAAATTTCTGCTTGTTAATTTTTTATATTTTTTTTAAAATTCAATAATAATAAAATGTGTAATTATTTATATTCACAGCATTTAATTTTCTTGATTAGTTATCATCTAAATCTTTTGGGATGGGTTATCTATAACTTATTGCAATTGTTTTGATTTTTGGACTTTAACAGAATAGACCTTTTTTCCCTACAGAAATGACTAATTTTGATTTTAAAGTTTTTAGTCAATAAATTGATACTCATGTACAGGTAAGTTTATTTTGCACTTGTGAAAAAGGATGTATTATTATTATTTATACAATTTTGTTTTATTAATATAAATTTCAAGTTGTGCATTTTAAGCTGCTGCTGATATTTCTTTTTATAATTGCTTAAATTAATTAAAAAAAAGGCATAACTATTTTTTAAAATATATTTATAAGTTCTTGTATACACTATAATGCAGTCACTTTAAGGCTAATAATGAATAATTCTACATTAATTGAATCTACTAGTGCATATTATTGATATAAGCTGTACTTTAGTGAATCTTTAATAAGCAAGGTATTACAGTATCTTGGAGATATAACCATCATCCAGATTCTGCTGATATCAATTTTCTATCTTAAAGTTATTATTCACTAGTGTCTTCTGTATAAAAGAATGCAAGATAATTTTATAAGATACAAGAGTATCTTGTGCTAATCAAATATCAACAAATTTATATAATACTTCATGCAAAATATTATTGATTTTTATAAAGCTGAAACAAATCTCAATAACAACTATTTAAAATTTTTATAGTACATGAACAATCATGCTATGAAAGGAAGAACAAAATTGTTCTAGTTAATGATCTATTGCAGACATCTTTGCCAAGCAAGATTCGTCATACTGCATTTTAAAGACAACTTAAGATGTTTTGATGTCTAGGTTGAGCACAAGTTGAATTGGCAACATTTGAATAAAGCAAGCAAAGAGAAAATGCGATGAGAATAGCAAAAAGTGTACAGTTTAACAAGAATCTTTCATGTTTTTAGAATAAAACAGTAATTTTTTTTGTTTGGTGATCTGAATTAATATATTAATTACTTCATATTTTAGGACAAAAAGCAATAACAGAATTATTTGGCACAAAGTAGCCATTTGTGTATTGTTGCAGCTTTACCTATACTAGAGATTTTAATGTTGAATTTATTCCTTCATGTCAATGACATTGTTTTGTTGCTGAATATTTTAAAATTTACTATATATCAGATAAATGAAATAATTACAATATTTAAATAGGAATATTAATTGCTTGTTACCAGAACTTAGGAAAAAAAAAACAAGTCAATATTGAAAACCACCAGCAAAAAATAAAATTTGGAATTTGTTCTACAATTTAAATTGTGTGTTAAATCTGCATGTTTTGAGTTTTGAAAATACTACTATTTAATCAATGAAATTATTTGCAGAATTGTGTGTATCTGAAACATGATGTCTGAAGTCTTGTGCATTTGCTTGTTTTAGTATGAAAGTTTTTTTCTCATTTTGATGTATGTATGGAAAAACTTTTTAATGAATTCATTATTGCTTTATAAAGCATCTTACTACTAACATTATGAAACAGTTCAGTTATAATAAGTTTTTTTAGTCATATAGCAGATTTATCTGTACTGAAATAGTGTCCACTGATCATTTTGTGATAACTTTTAATATATCTGTTGTATTGTATTGACAGATTTTTCAATTGCTTGTGATATTTCAGAGCAAGTATCTAGAAGTTGAGTTCTATTGGATTTACTATCTTAAACATCATATACAAAGTAGTTAGGACCACGAATATATTTTGCGTAGTCTAGACTGCAAGAAACTTTTGATAAAAATTTAATTTCTAATTTTTAACTCTAAATTAACTTTTAAATATTCAATATCTTATCCTGCTGGTGCTACAGATTGTTCTCTAGTATAACAAATATTCAATCTATAAAAAAAAAAGATATCATTATTTCATTTTTATTATAATTTTTGCATTTTTTGCAACAATTTAGATCTAGATTTCAGAAGATTTTGGAAATTGCAGCTCACCAAAGCATTGAAAACTAGATTGATTATATTCATTACATCAGTTCAGTTTGATTGGGTTTAATTTATTATACATTTAAATGTTGTCTGAATGTTTATAGTTGACAAAATTGAGAAACTATACAGATAGAGAAGAAATCTTTTCAATGGCTGAAGAATTATAAGGACAAACAATAGGGAGTATAACAGAACATTAAACTTTTTAGTATTAAAATTTATTCTACATATGCTCCAAAACTGTTTAATCTTTTAGATTGTCAAGTTTCGTCAACGAAGATCAAAGTAAAAACATTCAAATATGACCTAAAGCATCTTTCAATTTGCTAAGTTTTGCATTAACCAATAATGAAGAGTATATTTCTATAAATGAATTTCAGGGAGTAAAAGTTTATGGATTTATTATTTTTAAATGTTTTCAGTTAGAAGAAAAACAAAATTAATAATTCTTAACTGTATTAAGTTAATAACAAATTAGAAATATAACTAAATTTTGAGAGGTATTGAATATCCATTTTTATAGCAAGGTAATGTATTTTCATTAAAATTTCCTAACTTTGTAGTTTAGATTTGTTAATTAGGTTTATAATTTGTTATAGTCAAATATTACTTAAAATGGATCTACGGAGAGGGAGTTGCTTAAAATAGATTTAAAATGTTTAAAAAAAGTAATTATCTTCATCTAAGTGTTACTTAAATGTTAACAATTGTAGAAAGCTTAATTTTATTATGTCAGTACTGTTATAAATCATTAATTTCTAAGATTATGTAAATGGGGATTAAGTTTTTTAACCCTCTCTGCCCATTGGGCACTAAGAGGGATTTTTTTTAACAACCCCATTAAGTCTCTCAGGGTTTAGTCAGTCTCACAATAGGGCAGCTGGATAGTGAGGGATGATAACATATCTGTACGGCCATCCTGAAAAATTCCCGAGGTTTTTGACTCTTCCGAATTTGATCCTGGATTCCCTAGATTGGTAGGCTGTCACCTTAGCCACTTGGCCATCTGGACTCAGAGACAATCATTTTAGGTAATGTTCTCCTCTTATTTTAAAATTTTATTGAAATATTTTTCAAATAATTACTGTAAAATTTGAATTCAATATATTGTGATTATGAAATATCTGAAAATATTCTTCAAAATAATTGGTCTCTCTTGTATAGTTCAGTAACGTGTTAAAGAATTTTAATCCGGTTTTTTAAAATATTTTTTTTTTTAAACTTTGTGGATAATTGTAATTTTTTTAAATGTAGTTTTGTGTATTTACTAAACTTGTAATTACAATATAGTAAAAATCAAAATTTAAATATTTAAATTAGAATTTTGTTAAAAATGAAGATAAAGATAATACTAATTCAGTTTACTAGTATAACAAACAGATTTTTTTAATTAAATTCTATAAATTTATTCCTAATGTCTTCGATTAGGAACACAAAGAATTTATTATTTTTTTTATTACAATATTAGCAAAGTCAGGGACTATAAATGTCACCTTCTCCCAGTAACGGAACAAGAAAATTCATAAAAATTCACTAAAACAGTAGGCATAACAATTCTATTGACAAATAATAGAGGCATCTGGAAAATGATTTCAGAGTAATGAAGCTTGGATAAATGATGGAAAGGTGGGTTAATGACATATTACCTTCTTTGTTGTTGTCGAATGAGTGAATGTCCATCTCAGATGAAGTAAATCCTTTATAAATGATTAATATTTTAAAAATTACAATTTTAGGATTGCATTTTTGAAATTAAAATAGGTCTGACATATCATTTAATATCATATGATATATAATGTAAATATTATATATTTATACAAACATATGTACACGCATAAATATCTTCAAACTTTAATAATAATTTTATTGCTCTATAAGCATTTAAATCAAACAAAATGATGTAAATATGTTAAAGATAAATTTTTGATGATACATTCAAAGTAATTTACCTGTACAGTAAGCTTTTTCAAAATTGTATAATGTTTAATGTCTTTTTTTTATACTTTATTTGGTTTGAAACAGTTTTTTTATTTGCATGTATATTTTTATTTTAAAGTGTAGTCAAATTAATTTAATTTCAATTATTAAATTTGAATGTTATTTAATTTTACTTTTCTAATATTTTAATTTTCGAATAAAATTTATATAAAGTAAAAATGAAAAATGTTTTTAAATTGCANCTGAATATTTTGAAATTTACTATATATCAGATAAATGAAATAATTACAATATTTAAATAGGAATATTAATTGCTTGTTACCAGAACTTAGGAAAAAAAAACAAGTCAATATTGAAAACTACCAGCAAAAAATAAAATTTGGAATTTGTTCTACAATTTAAATTGTGTGTTAAATCTGCATGTTTTGAGTTTTGAAAATACTACTATTTAATCAATGAAATTATTTGCAGAATTGTGTGTATCTGAAACATGATGTCTGAAGTCTTGTGCATTTGCTTGTTTTAGTATGAAAGTTTTTTTCTCATTTTGATGTATGTATGGAAAAACTTTTTAATGAATTCATTATTGCTTTATAAAGCATCTTACTACTAACATTATGAAACAGTTCAGTTATAATAAGTTTTTTTAGTCATATAGCAGATTTATCTGTACTGAAATAGTGTCCACTGATCATTTTGTGATAACTTTTAATATATCTGTTGTATTGTATTGACAGATTTTTCAATTGCTTGTGATATTTCAGAGCAAGTATCTAGAAGTTGAGTTCTATTGGATTTACTATCTTAAACATCATATACAAAGTAGTTAGGACCACGAATATATTTTGCGTAGTCTAGACTGCAAGAAACTTTTGATAAAAATTTAATTTCTAATTTTTAACTCTAAATTAACTTTTAAATATTCAATATCTTATCCTGCTGGTGCTACAGATTGTTCTCTAGTATAACAAATATTCAATCTATAAAAAAAAGATATCATTATTTCATTTTTATTATAATTTTTGCATTTTTTGCAACAATTTAGATCTAGATTTCAGAAGATTTTGGAAATTGCAGCTCACCAAAGCATTGAAAACTAGATTGATTATATTCATTACATCAGTTCAGTTTGATTGGGTTTAATTTATTATACATTTAAATGTTGTCTGAATGTTTATAGTTGACAAAATTGAGAAACTATACAGATAGAGAAGAAATCTTTTCAATGGCTGAAGAATTATAAGGACAAACAATAGGGAGTATAACAGAACATTAAACTTTTTAGTATTAAAATTTATTCTACATATGCTCCAAAACTGTTTAATCTTTTAGATTGTCAAGTTTCGTCAACGAAGATCAAAGTAAAAACATTCAAATATGACCTAAAGCATCTTTCAATTTGCTAAGTTTTGCATTAACCAATAATGAAGAGTATATTTCTATAAATGAATTTCAGGGAGTAAAAGTTTATGGATTTATTATTTTTAAATGTTTTCAGTTAGAAGAAAAACAAAATTAATAATTCTTAACTGTATTAAGTTAATAACAAATTAGAAATATAACTAAATTTTGAGAGGTATTGAATATCCATTTTTATAGCAAGGTAATGTATTTTCATTAAAATTTCCTAACTTTGTAGTTTAGATTTGTTAATTAGGTTTATAATTTGTTATAGTCAAATATTACTTAAAATGGATCTACGGAGAGGGAGTTGCTTAAAATAGATTTAAAATGTTTAAAAAAAGTAATTATCTTCATCTAAGTGTTACTTAAATGTTAACAATTGTAGAAAGCTTAATTTTATTATGTCAGTACTGTTATAAATCATTAATTTCTAAGATTATGTAAATGGGGATTAAGTTTTTTAACCCTCTCTGCCCATTGGGCACTAAGAGGGATTTTTTTTTAACAACCCCATTAAGTCTCTCAGGGTTTAGTCAGTCTCACAATAGGGCAGCTGGATAGTGAGGGATGATAACATATCTGTACGGCCATCCTGAAAAATTCCCGAGGTTTTTGACTCTTCCGAATTTGATCCTGGATTCCCTAGATTGGTAGGCTGTCACCTTAGCCACTTGGCCATCTGGACTCAGAGACAATCATTTTAGGTAATGTTCTCCTCTTATTTTAAAATTTTATTGAAATATTTTTCAAATAATTACTGTAAAATTTGAATTCAATATATTGTGATTATGAAATATCTGAAAATATTCTTCAAAATAATTGGTCTCTCTTGTATAGTTCAGTAACGTGTTAAAGAATTTTAATCCGGTTTTTTAAAATATTTTTTTTTTTAAACTTTGTGGATAATTGTAATTTTTTTAAATGTAGTTTTGTGTATTTACTAAACTTGTAATTACAATATAGTAAAAATCAAAATTTAAATATTTAAATTAGAATTTTGTTAAAAATGAAGATAAAGATAATACTAATTCAGTTTACTAGTATAACAAACAGATTTTTTTAATTAAATTCTATAAATTTATTCCTAATGTCTTCGATTAGGAACACAAAGAATTTATTATTTTTTTTATTACAATATTAGCAAAGTCAGGGACTATAAATGTCACCTTCTCCCAGTAACGGAACAAGAAAATTCATAAAAATTCACTAAAACAGTAGGCATAACAATTCTATTGACAAATAATAGAGGCATCTGGAAACTGATTTCAGAGTAATGAAGCTTGGATAAATGATGGAAAGGTGGGTTAATGACATATTACCTTCTTTGTTGTTGTCGAATGAGTGAATGCCCATCTCAGATGAAGTAAATCCTTTATAAATGATTAATATTTTAAAAATTACAATTTTAGGATTGCATTTTTGAAATTAAAATAGGTCTGACATATCATTTAATATCATATGATATATAATGTAAATATTATATATTATACAAACATATGTACACGCATAAATATCTTCAAACTTTAATAATATTTTTATTGCTCTATAAGCATTTAAATCAAACAAAATGATGTAAATATGTTAAAGATAAATTTTTGATGATACATTCAAAGTAATTTACCTGTACAGTAAGCTTTTTCAAAATTGTATAATGTTTAATGTCTTTTTTTATACTTTATTTGGTTTGAAACAGTTTTTTTATTAGCATGTATATTTTTATTTTAAAGTGTAGTCAAATTAATTTAATTTCAATTATTAAATTTGAATGTTATTTAATTTTACTTTTCTAATATTTTAATTTTCGAATAAAATTTATATAAAGTAAAAATGAAAAATGTTTTTAAATTGCATTATTTTTAAAAATTAAAAGCAGTTAAATCATTACATAGACTAAATAATTGTATAAATAATTTATCCATCTCAGTTTCTCCAATGAAATCTGGAGTTGTGCTTATTGGATCTCTTGCTGATTTTACTAAATTTATAAATACAGTAAGTTAATTTATAATTACTTATTTACATTATTAAAAATATTCTTAATAGTTTTTTTTAATGTCTTAATATAATTAGTGTAGTGATATATAAATAAGGATAGATGATATTTTATTAAATATTGTATCCTAATATTTTCGCAAATAAGTATCTTGATAGCGACGTTAAATTTTAAACTTGAACAAAAAAATTTTTTATTTTGGCATTACTTGAAAATGGAATAAATAAATAATAAATTAACACTTGGATTTTATATATAACAATATTTGAAATGTTTAAGTGTAGTGTCAATGATAAAAATTGAGAAAAAGGTGGGAAAAAAGGATTTAAATTCCTTTTGCATGATATTCATGACAATATGAAGATAATTTTCATAAGAGAACAAATACAAGAAATTCAAGCAATAAAATGAAATAAAAATTAATTCAGAAAATGCTAATTTTTTAAAATGGTTGGTCAAGAGGTGGGTGAGTGGTGGTCTTAAAAATTTGCCATTATATGTAATGTACATATGTGTTTATATATTTTTTACTATTAAAAAAAATATCAACTTTAATCATTGAATCAAAAAAAAAAAAGGTGTGATGATGATGCAGTCAAATAATTAAAACATTATTGAAAAATAAAATATTTAATAATTATTACAATAAAGTAAATTTTAATAAAAATCTTAACATGAAATTGTCATCTTATTACACTGAAAATACCATTATAAGAATTACAAATGCTTTTAAAAATGAAAAATTGAAATGTTTATGAAAACTTGGTCAAAATTAATCATAATTTGAAACACGAATTTTGTAAAAGAATATGTAAAAAATAATTATATATATGTAAAGCTATATAATGTTGATTAATTTGTATTTCTATTATGGTACATACTTAAACAATTTTATCATCACGTTTATGTAATATATTGATGATTATTAACAA